ATGTTTAAATGAGGTTTCAAAGACACGCGGCTAGTCTAGGCAGCAACTTACTGTCAGAGATAATTTACACGTATTAATTGAAGGCATTTCAAAAAACAATCAGTTTTACATACAATCTAAACACATATCGTGTAACACTTAAGAATCGTATTTTTCTATAATGTTAAATTTACAAGCAGGACCTAAGAACCTATAGGTGTCTATAGAGTACCTGTAACTTGTCGAGAATAATAATATRCTTTGTACAATATAACAGATTATACAAAACCAGATGATACACATTACACTTCCAATTCAAGCCATGTAATTTTCAAAAATGTAAACAAATAATTAACTAGCTAATAGAGAAAAAYCGTTTTCATGAAAAATTTTTGATTATTAATTACGCATCACTAAAAATATATTTAAMACTCGCGCAAAATTCCTTACCATTGTCATATTATTTGATACGACCATTATRGTAAATATTATRCTATACAATAATTTATTTCTCATGTGTGATTCTAATGTATTGAGGTAAGTTTGAGTTATCAATAAATTCAGAAGTGCACCGTCTTATTTTTTATAATATGCGATAAAATATATGCTGTCGTTGCAGGATGAACGAATGTAGCTAAGTTATAAAATATATATTATGTAATTCATATTGTCGCATTAGTCACCAACAGTGWTACAAAATTATGATATTTAAATAGACATTACGAATAATAATATGCTTTACCTTGATGAACCTGGGGAACCGGAGTATGGGATGCACGCCGATCTTTAGTTGTATCAGATCCAGTGGCGTGAGCGCTATGAGATCGAACAGGAACGACCGTGACCGGATGTAATGGCCGGCCAGCTTGCTGGTATTGTACACCATCAGGCCCTGTTCCAGATAACCGGTGCGGAACTGGACGGCCACGTCCAGCAGGAACACGATGTCGCTGAACGCGTCCATGGCAGACCACCACGGGGAAGCCATGCGTTGMAGYTCGGGCAGACTTTGCCGGACGATGGCCGTCCACAGGTTGTACAGCGTGCAGCCCGTCAGCACCATTAGCCAGTTGAAATAGAAGTTCTCGTCCGGGTTGACCACGGACCACGGGAGTTTGTTCTGTTTCCGGCGCAACCGGCGTTTCCGGCGCACGTACTCGATGTTGTCCTGCGAGCCGGAACTGCATTCGCCGTCATCGCCGGTGTCCAACGTCTCCTGAAAAATCAAATCCAACACAATCAATAATCGTCACGATGACGGTGGTGGACAGACAGTGGTTTTCATGGCACAGCTGTTATCGCAGTATGCATATTATAGTAATGTTATATTAAACATTAATATATCGGTCACCAATCGATATACGTAAGTGATCTTTTACGTCATAATCGTCCGACGTCCGTCTTCGGTGGGCTCGTAATGTATATTTTCAATGTAGGTTATACGTAAAGATATTACATAAATTGCAGCGATTTACAATACTATGAAAATACTACACTGAAATTTCGAGATTAAAATATTTTCCCTGTTTTTTTTTTTTTATTATTATTATTAAAGAAATGACTCGGAATCGTGGCCATTGGGATAAGATATATATTTTTTTTAATATGTTACTTAATAATAGAAAAGTTTAAGTTAACAAATGTATAGACTAAATTATATAATTATAAGGTTGTGTTATTCAGATGGTTAAATATTCCCCGTTTATTTATGTATATATATATATATTATATATATTATATAGGTACATACGAAATATGTAACGGTTTGAATATTTTTACAGAGTAAATTAGTTTAGGAGC